TAATCAGCACTCCTTACAAGCTAATTATTGGATAAGGTTAAAATTCAATGACAACTGATGACTCTTGGTACTAGGCAGATTCTGACTAGTATTTTTACTATCTTGTTCCTGTGTTTACATATGTTGTAGTGCATCGTGATTCTTAGTCTGTTTTGAGATATTTAATTCAGTCATATGTAAGTTTACCCAAATGAAACGCTAAAAACAGTAACACAAGGACTTGTCTTAAGTCACTTGGACTATTGCTCATGCATAATGTCGGCCTGTCCGCAATCTCACCTTAACAAACTTCAGATCATTCAAAACAAAGCAGCCAGACTGGTGCTAAATGCCAAGTATAGCTCTGGCATTGACGATATGCACACACGCCTACACTGGTCCACTGTCAAAGAGAGGTTGTACGCAGGAACACTTTCAATGTTCAAGAAAATTCTCACAACCAAAAAGCCAGAATCAATCTACAAAAGATTACAGACAGTTAATGATACTCACCAACACAATACACGCCTAGCACATAGGGGGGGCTTCAGACTGCCAAAACCAAGAACAGCCTAAGCCAAACGAACATTTCTGTACCGCTGCACTAAATCATATAACACACTTCCACAACACATCAGACTATCCGCACCTACATCGTTTAAGAAACATATCCGGGAATGGTTGAAAACTGTGGTGGACACCTCCAAACCCTTACAAGCATGGTGGTAGTAGAAATGTAGATATGTAAATATGAATCTTTGTCTAAATTTAATTTTTACGACCTCTGACCTCTCGGTACTACTTGCATGTTGTGTGTGGTTATGTAGTGTGTAGTTAAGCCTTACCATGTTGTGATGAAAGTAGTTTGTAGTCAACGACTCCAGGAAGAATAGTATGTATGGCAAATGATGTCTGTACAAACTAATGGAGATCGGTCTAATAAACAAATAAACAAATATGATACGCCAAAAAGCACTGATCAACAACAACACAATTCAGACTTTTAAAGTTCACAACGTAGTTTTATTAGCCTGGGTTCCATCCTGGTTAGTTTACGTCCGCTCGGAGCGGACGCAAACTAACCAGGATGGAACCCAGGCTATAGTTTTATTAATTAAAATGTCAAAGATTTACATTCTGCAACAATCCTCGTTAGACATGGGGTGTATAACATTGATGCAGTGCTGCCACAGTGCGGTATAATTCCGCATGTCAACGCTGCTGACACTCGCCGACGTGACTCTGGACTACCTGCAGGATCAAGGCAGGCATCCATACTGTAAATTGCGTGCCAACAGGAAAAAATACTTGTTTGTCAAAAAAGAGGCAGCCGTCTGCGAAAAGATTCAAAGTCTCCATTATTGGTCCACCTGCGTCAGTGGTTGATAAAAGGCACCCAAAGTAAATGATAACTGCACAATATGTTGTGCCACTACGTTAAATAATGAAGTGGCGGCACAGGTGGGTAAAAAAACTTTACCTGTACTTTGTCTTCTTCTTCTTCTTTGAGTAAATGTAGTCAGACTTATAAATGAATGTAGACCTCTAATGCTAATTTAATGGTGTTTGTAATTATGAGTATTTGTAGTGTAATTAAGAATTGTGATTTTATTACATGTTAACGGGGGGGTGCCCTAATTCCGACCTATCCGTACTAGTTTGAAAAATCCTTGTTGCGGCGCTGTGCCGCATGGGAGCACGTGCCTAAAATAACCACAAGAATGGACAAAGTTTTTGTGTTGATATCGGTAATCTCACAAATTTTGTTTTAGTTCGTACATTCCGACAACAGACAAGTGAAAAATCTGTCTGAATTCGACACTTGTTCGGGGTTTGACGATATTTTGGGTCAGATAAACTATTACCAAAGGTATGTGCGTTTGTATGGAACATAGGTCGGAATTAGGACCCCTCCCGTTAACGGAGTGTGTACTTCAGTCAGAAGACTGTGAAATGCTTCTTGTTGTTTTACTACTACAAATAAACCATTCATTCATAATTTAAATGGAGGGTTTTCCATCTAAAGTTACAGCAGTCTTTGCCCATGTTTCGTAAAATCTGTAATAGTCTAGAAAGGCTGCAGCAAAAGGATCGAGGTTGTCGGTTTTAATTACCCCGCTAGAGGTCGTTGCTGAGTCGTTTGCCTGCTAAATAATGCACCGTGATAAAATGGGTAATTATAAAAGTTGTGAAATTATGCTAACGTCAGAGACGACAACTGTTGCTTCGAAGCGCCGCTATGCGAGGCACGGTTGCAGAACTCCAGCGTCTGAACTAAAACAGGGCCCGTCTTCCAAGTGAGATGTTGATGTTTTTCTTTCGCGACATTCCTGGCTCGGTGACCTGCCTTGACCCGATGGGCGTGGTCACGAACGCAACTAAACTTAAAAACACCTCAGGAGCCCCTGAATCCTTTATACGCCTGAAAACAGAGACATGTACACATTCAAAGAAGATAATGTATATTTATCTTAATTGTACGTATATCGGTATTAGAGACAGTCGCTTTTGTTATACTTTTTGTTGATTTTGGGACAGATTTGTGATTTATAGTTGGATGCCTTCACTGGTGCATGACGGGAGGCCACAGCTGGGTCATTTCCAGGCAAGATGGCTGACGGGGACAGGGATCGCGAATTAGCTTCGAATTTCAGGTAAAATTCTCCCTTATTTCCCTCACAGAGTGTCAAAAACTCTCACGAAGAACTACATGAGATACTCTTCGGTCTCGTTTGGGTGTCATTTTCGCAGTTTTCGCCCGGAATCGTCTGTTTGAGGCCACATAGCTGGAGGGTATCATGTTGCAGATAGTTGCAAAGATTCATTGTTTTGAAAGTTGTAAACTTTGTTCGCCATCGTTCACTTTCTGCGCGCAAAGACGCCAAAAACAGCCCGTATCCTGGTCCCTGCATGTCTTACGAGCTCGATTCGTGGCCTGTTATTTTGAAACGAGCCCGATGTGGCCCTAAGTTCGCTATTTGTTGACGCGAGTTCTACTCGCGATGGAAACTCCGCTGCATTGTTCTAATTAATGGAACATGAATATTTATAGGTTCTCAGATCTGTATCTTTGTGGGTTGCAGCTGTCAAAAGCATCCCCGATTTCTGCCCGAGAGGGCTCTATAAATTATGAACGATGTTCAGGAGTAGTGTTACCGAAAGTTTACCAGTCGGTAGTGTGGTAGGAATTCGTGTGAAGGGTTTGCGTGGTTGTTGGGAGGGTGGTTTGAAGACTTGGGTGTAAAAATCTGTTCACCCCGATAGTTAACCTCGGCGCAGGGGTCAACACTGTTGGTGTCAGATTCCAGGGTGGCCTTCTGACTTGCTCTTCTCCTTCAAATCAGCTCAAGATTTCTTCAAAATCATGTCAGGAAGAGTTGCTGCTGCTCTTTTTGTGTGCAGTCAGTCCCGTAATTGCGTGAAAACCAGTCTTGTCACGGAATAACGAGATCCCGGTGACTTATGTGAGAGGACGTAATTTGTTGTCATTATTTATTATGATCATCTTGCGTGCTGAGTGGAGTGTTTGGGATGAATTGTGCGCTTTACACGCGTGATTAGGTGTGGTAAGGTAGGAAGGTCGGGGTGTCTGATTAACAAGGCGGACTTGGATGGTCACATTTGTTTCACATACGTTATAATTTATATCGTTTGTTGTCTTCAAGGGAACTTTGAGTTAATTCGTTAGATAATCTATTGGTGTGTACTTCTCAGGTTCTGGATCTGTCACACTTAATTGATGATCGTTAATTTGTTTTGAACTGTTAATAGTGATCAAGATTCAACAGGTTGTTAACTTTTTATGTACATGTACTCCCAAACCCACTTTATTAAAGTGGATCCTTTTCTGCCAATGTGTAGTATTGTTATTATTGTGTTGTTGGTACTTTTAGCATGTTGCGGCTTCCTTTTCAATGTATATTTTTCAATTCTGTTGCAATTGGAATGTCGCAAATTCTCTTGTTCTTCACAAATAATTCAGCTTTTGCAAATGAAGATTAGAAAAAAAAAACACATGTCTAGCCTATATTAGTATATATATATGTCATGTTAAAACTTTAGCACACTTGCCATACCATGAATAAGATTATAAGACTAAAAACAAAGCTTTTGAAACCCATTCTCCCAACATACCTATACTTCTTTCTAAAGTTGAGTCAAATAATCATAGAGTCTAATGGTTCATTTTGTACTATATTTTATGGTTCTCTGTTGGGTGAAATACCAGCCAAATTGCTGTGCTACTATTTAGTTGTGACCATTGTGGATTCCTGAGCTGTGCTCAGTGTGGCCCTACTGCAGGCAGGACTGTGGCATCACCTGGACGTGATGAGGGTCTTGTCCAGTATACAATAGAATGTAGATGTAGAACTACCAGCCAAACTGCAGTGCTACTGTTTCGTTGTGCCCAATGAGTGTGGATTCCTGAGCTGTGCTCAGTGTAGCCCTACTGCAGGACTGTGGCATCACCTGGACGTGGTGAGGGTCTTGTCCAGTATACTATAGAATGTAGATGTAGAACTACCAGCCAAATTGCTGTGCTACTGTTTAGCTGTGACCATTGTGGATTCCTGAGCTGTGGCCCTACTGCAGGCAAGACTGTGGCATGTTTGTCTGTCAGCCCAGCCTGACATAACCCATCCCTGTCACATGATCACCGCTGCGGCCAGCTGGTATGTGTAACCCTCCCTTCCCAGCATGCCCTGCGCCAGGGGGTGACCCCGTCCGCAAGTTCAAGTGCGTATCGCGGCCCCAGATCTGCAGCACCTTATCAAGTCCACCTCGGGAGCAGGCTAGTTTACTGCCGCTGCAGCCTCACAGGCTCCCCAATAATTACTTCCACAGGCAGAGAAACAAGTTACAATAACAGCCCAGGAGGAGAGCCAAGATGTCTGGGAAAGATGCAGGCAGGGAGAAAAGAAAACAATCCCTGCTGTAGGGTGGGGAGATTAATGATATTTTGATAGGATTTAGGGGCAAGGCCTGGAGCAGGGATGGGGAGGGGGGGGGGAGGTGCAGAGCTAGAGAGGAACTGGTGAGGGTTTTACTTTTACAGGTTGAAGAAAAAAAGCAGTTGTTGGTTTTAGAGTTTTACAAGAAAACAGTTACTAAAGCAACTGGATAACGTTTGAAAATTGAAAGGCCTTTGGTATTTCTAAATCTATCCAGTAGCTATTTTCTTGTGTTTTTTTCTTTTGTCTTATTTAAGTTATTACCTGGGTCAGTGGGTGTCTGACTCTGACCTTGGTCTTAGAGTTTTACAAGAAAACAGCCTCTCAAGCAATTTGATAGGTACTTTGATACCTTGAGAGTTTGAAAAGCTAGTGGTTTTTCAAAATTTAGCCAGTTACTCAAGTAGCTGACAGTCTTGAACTGTTGTCTTGAATATTACTTGGATGTTTAACCTTTATCATTGACATGATAGAGGTTTGTTCTTTATGGTGAAGTTGACAGCTTCACATGTAGACCTCAATGATGATCAGGAGGGTCCCACTAGGAATGTTAGAACCTGGATTGTTGTGAAATCTGGAGGTTGGCTGACTCATAAAAACTTGTCTGGGCTTGTTGAATAAACTGGCTGAAAGAGGATATTTCAAGTCAACTGTCTTGTGCTTTGATTGGAGATCATCATCATCATCATCATTGGCCTCCCTCCGTCTGGGCAGACGATGGCACGCGCCTCCTTGAACAGGTTCTCCTGTGGCTGTATAGACCGATCCTTGAGTGGCAGTCTCTGTTGCAGCTCTCACAGATAAATGTTGAAGTATGCTGAGCTGGTCTCGTCTTTTGTTTTTCTTTCTTTTCCTTTCGCAGTCTGTCCCGATCCTCATCCGCCCTCTTCACCCCTGTTTTGACAGTGGATTTCCACAGGGTGCGGTTAAGGGCGATGTTCTCCCAGGACTCGGAGTCGATGTGTGCTGCCCTAAGGTCCCTCTTACAGATGTCCTTGTATCGCAAATGAGGGCGGCCTTTTTTCCGAGTTTTGATTGGAGATAATGTTGGAAAATACAACAACACTGGAAACAATTCCTTTGGTATAAAAATATTATCATGAGAGTTCATCTGTGTTGGTAGTTACATCATGTTAAAAGTTAAAACTTTCTAAAACTTGACTGTCGAAAGCTCAATGTTTGAGAACTTTGTGTTAGATGGAAATTTTTAACTTAAAACAACATTAGAAACGAGTACTTCTTGAAGTATACAAATGTCTTACAACTAAATTACTTTGAAACTTTCTCAATGTTAGATCCGGTCAAGGTTAATGGTTAGTACAGAGCATGTATTTGGTTTGGTTTGTATAATTTACCACATTGTTGTTGTCCCTGACAGTAAGGCAAGTGGTATTTATGTATGTGTCACTGTGATTTAAGTTACATTTATAGCCAGGATTATCAGCAAGTGTAGCTCAGGGACATTTGTGACAGGATAATCCCTCCTGAAAGAGACAGCTCAGTCTTGGAAAATTAAACAGACTGGAGAATATAAGGGGTCACTGTTTTTTGTTGTACATGCAAATTAATGTCAAAGACAAATGCAAATTATTGGTAGGCAAATCACCGAACTGTCACCCACTTTTGGTCTACCAGTCCACTGAAGTGCTGTCAACATGGCAGATCACTTATACTGATATAAATCAATCACACTGATGTGATTTGATGTGATTTGGATTGCCACAGTAGAAGTGGATCACTGGCAGCCATAGTATAGCCTGGGTGCCAGACTCACAGCACACAACTAGGCTCAGTTATCCAGTGTGCATAGGATAACTTTGAGCCTAGTGTACATGGGCTATGGCAGCCATTGCTGGTATCATAGTAGATAGAGTAGAGTAGAGTAGATGTCTTCGGCCACGTAGGAGCTTAGGTTCCAGTTTAGGTCGCTCATGATGTTCGTCCATCGTAGGTCGCTCATACACCTCACATTATTACATACCCCAGGTATTGCAGACTTCCATGTTATACATTTTACAAATCACAGTGGAACTCCCTACCAGACAATGTAGTCATGGCAGAAAGCATAAACCAGTCCAAAATAGCCTGGGTTCCAGACCCATAGCACACTGGACACAAATATCTCAGTGAGCCTGGGTCCCCTGCACACTGAGATATTTTGTGTCCAGTGTGCTTTGGGTCTGGCATCCAGGCTAGTCCAAAACAGCTTAGATAATCACTGGGAGAGACGAAAGTACGCAGTATGAGTGAGGATCAGGACACAACAGGCTGCCGAGAAGCCTCCTCTCCTGTAGAAGTATCAAGGTATCAAGGTAATTTACTTGAAACTGGCCCATGTTTGAAAGAATGAATGTATCTAGCCTGGATGCCAGACCCATAGCACACTGGACACAAAGTATCTCAGTGAGCAGGGGACCCAGGCTCACTGAAATATTTTGTGTCCAGTGTGCTTTGGGTCTGGCATCCAGGCTAGAATGTATCATGTTCCTTATAATATTATATATTGTGAAAGTGATTGGGATTCCCACTCAGCCAAAACAACCTGTACTCTGTAAGATTGAATATGAATGAAGCTGAATCAAACCCTCTTGCATGGTGGGCCACTTTGCTTTTCATCCCATCAAAAGCAAAAAGTTATTTGTAATAATATGGTACCATGTAATATGGAAACTCTGAAACTCTCTTTTCCCATGTGTATACAG